ATATATATATATATTCAGTGTGGCGCTATATTACGGTGACCGCAATTGTACAAAAGAGGATGCAAGACGATCTCATCCTTCTCGGTGCAGTCCTAACCCTTCAAATGCCTGTTTGTGATAAGAAAAATCGGTATCAGCTCGAGTGAGATTTGACAAACTCACTCTCTCTCTCTCTCTCTCTCTCTCTCTCTCTATATATATATATATATATATATATATATATATATATATATATATATATATATATATATATATATATATATATATCCCGGGGGCAGGTATACCTCATCCTTAATTCCTTGTGTGTCGTAAAAGTAGACTAAATGGGGTGGAGTGAGGGGACCAGGAAAGTTTAGTACCAGCTTATCGATTCCCACTTTGGCGAGTCCAGTTTGTCGATATCCCAAATTGCCTTCTCGTATTCAAGTCGATGTAATTATCAACTTTTTAATGAATTAAATCTAAATACAAAGTCTGTTTATGATTAATATATTTAATTTTAAAGGCAATTAACTAAGTGGCAATTTAAAAAGTGATGATTTAATTGAATCCAACACCAAAGGAAGATGCCGCCCGTCTTGAGAAATAATCACTCGCAACGTATTGAGAAATTTAAGCACGAGAAAAAAGTAAATGGTCGGTGATTGATTAAGATCTTTCTATCTACCTTGACTGTTTCCTCCATTGGGGGGTAGCCGACATAAAAAAAGAAACAATGCGGAGATTACTTTGCTCTATGGGCAATGACGAGGAAACTAGCGACCCTTCAGATGGCACTTCTGGAGTGCCACAGCCCATCCTCCCGGCTCTTCCACAACCTGTGTCGCTTCACAACTGCCAACTCCTCCTACTGCCCCTACCACAGGGCTACCTCTGTATGATGCAGCCCCGTGCTAACAGCAGATGCCCATCAGAGCTGCGTCACAATCGCTCACTTGCTTCCCTCACATCCATTCTCCTATCATTTAAGGCTCTCCTTACTCCATCCATCCACCCCAAAAAAAGTAAATGGTCTGTGATTGATTAATATAATTTAAATTTAGAAGCTAACATTTCAATTAAATCCAACAACACGGGAAAATGCCGCCAATTATAAGAGAAAGTGCCAACTCTTGTTAAAATTAATGTAACTATCTATCAATATTCCTAGTCAAGCTTAACCTAACCTAAATCAATCCTTGCTATCACCTACGTGTAATATACTAATAGTATATTCAGATTGTTAGTGTTGGCAATCTGGGAATCTGGAAATTGGAACGCTACCACTAGGAATCCCTCTTATTTTTGTCTTACAATTATTCTTTATTTTGCTCTAATTCAGCCACCCTCTTAGGGTGATTGTGGCTTATATATATATATATATATATATATATATATATATATATATATATATATATATATATATATATATATATATATATATATATATATATATATATATATATATATATATATATATACTATTATATGAGTTAGGAAACTGAAAACCTCCCATATATGTTTCGTTTTCTGTTCAATAATACAGCAGTTTTATGTTCAATCACTGATTAGGCTTTTGTTGAGAAATTTTTATGGCTTCATTCTTATTATTTGACGACTCCCAGGAGGTTAATACAAGGGGGGGATGATTCCCAGTCCCCTCGCCCCGTCCACTTTTAGTCGCTTCTTACGACACGCAGGGAATACGTTGGGGCTATTCTTTGATGTTGTGCGCGCCACCCTCGTCATTGCCCATAGAGCTAAGTAATCCTCTTGTTGTATTTTGTTTTTATGTCGGCTACCCCCCAATTAAAGGGGGAAACAGCCGAGGTAGATAGATAGATTCTTATTATATTTTTATCAAAATACTTCATTCGCTTATTATTTACAAATACCAAAACTATCTCACATTTATCTATCTTTTTTTTTTCTTCCTATTGCTGATGTTCCATTCCTTCTCTCATGTTGAGCACAAATCAGTACCGCAGCTCTTCACTTTTCTTACAATTAGGTAAAGTACTCTCGGTTGTCATCTACATATACTACAATTCAGCATCCATGTCGTTGCATTCCTTGTGTTTTTCCATTCCCGATGTCATGTTTAGTATGAATCATGGATTCGGTATCTCTCTCTCTCTCTCTCTCTCTCTCTCTCTCTCTCTCTCTCTCTCTCTCTCTCTCTCTCTCTCTCTCTTTTTTTTTTTTTTTTTTTTTTTTTTTTTTTTTTTTTTTTTTTTTTTTTTTAACCAAGGGTTAGGTATCTAGCATTAGTTTTTTATTTTAAGATAAGTCAGTAAAATTAACGTAATTAATAGTAAATTACTCTTTCTGGTGACATTTATTTATTTTATTTAGAATATTAAATATAAATGAGAAGTTATAGTGTTTTCCAGAGTATAGCAAGGAAAATTGTTATGTCTGATTATTATTCGCTAGAAATGATAAAAAAAAAATTTCATTAGTCGTCACTTGTTTAGTGATTGTATTTCTGTAAATAATATATTGATGTGACCCTGAATAGGATAAATTCATACTTGTAATATATATATATATATATATATATATATATATATATATATATATATATATATATATATATATATATATATATATATACTGTATATATATATGTGTGTGCGTGTGTGTGTGATTGATTGACCTAAGCTGAAAATGGGAGTACATCTTCATATTTTGATATTAGAATGAACAACGAATTTTAACAGCCAATTTGTAGAAAAAATATATCTTTAAGGAATATAATACCGTACAGCTCATGAAAGTTATCAAAAGATTAATTTATTTAGTATCTTTCCCTTAAGGAGAGGGGGGCCGCGGTTGCGTAATGGTTAGAATTCCCGACTTGGAGGTAAAAGCCCTCCTATCGAGCCCACCGCAGGGCGTTAGGAAGGACTTCCAACTTTTACTCCCTAATTCCAATCTGTCTTTGTCCGCCCCCATAATGGGAATTAATACTGAGACAATACGTAAGGAAATTAATACTGGTTGGCGGATGGAAAAATAGGACTTATGATATTTTAAATGACGTAGGAGGAAAAAGAGGAAATTCATATTGCAATATTCCAGTGGAGAACCTTGATGTATGTTTACAGGTGCCCCACTTTGAGCTAAGGATTTTGACATTTCTTTTGAATAACGTCTAAATCAATTTTTTTTTCTTTTTTAATGAGTGTGACACCAGGACAGGCAAAAAAAAAAAAAATATATATATATATGTATATATATATATATATATATATATATATATATATATATATATATATATATATATATATATATATATATATATATATATATATATATATATATATATAAATCTACCCTCATCAAGCCTGAGCACGAAGAAAACAAAAAGAGAAACAGATGGGGAGTATTGTGACTTGTCAGATGTGAAGGGATAATAAGATGCTCCTTTATCAAATAATTTAGATGTTTATACCACTGTAGATCATTGTAAGACATGTCTTAATTGAGATAGCAAATATAACATAGGATGAATAAAAATGTAGGAAAAGATGAAGAGACTGAGAGAGAAGAATAAAAAGTAAAATCTATCTATCTATCTACCTTGGCAGTCTCTCCCAATTGGGGGGTAGCCGACATAAAAAAAAGAAACAATAAGGGGATTACTTTGCTCTATGGGAAATGACGAGGGAGCTAGCGACCGTTCAGATGGCACTGCTGGAGTGCCACAGCCCATCCTCCCGGCTCTTCCACAACCTGTGTAGAAGAAAAACAGTAGTAGAAAAACTGTCGTGGTACAAACCCATTAAGCTGTACCCTGGCTTCTCGCTTTCATAATTGATGTTAAAAGTAAATATTGTATATATGACAACAAACATACAGACACACACACGACCACAAAGGGGGAGGTAAGAGCTGTCAACCACGCCTCCTTTATCTCTTATTTATTTCTACATACAACGGGAGCCGCGGTAGCTTTGTGGTAGAGTGCGTGACTCAACAAGCGACTTATGGAGTTCTATCCCACCGCTATAGGTTAGGAAGGGCAGCCTGTCTTAATCCCTCAAATCCAATATGTCTGTGTCCACCCCCATTCGAATGGGGACTAGTTGTGACCCATAAAACAGTGTATCTTTCTAGCCTACTGGCTAGTACAGTGGTAACGCGCTGGCTTCGCATTCACGAGGTCGAGAGATCGGTTCCCGTCCAAGACCGAGAGTTTAAGCTGTTTACTAGCAGGTTACTGCTGTGGTTGGGCACCACAGTGGGGGGTTGGGGCTTGCCCCGGCTGACGAATACCCATTGTATAATGGAAATGAAGGTTTTCTACACACGCGCGCTTAATGGATATTCGAGGTCAACGTTTTTCGTTGTACGTTTTTGTGTATTTATTCATGTCAATAGCTAATATTGTTTTGCATTTTATATCACTGTTTTCTTGGTATTGCATTTCGATTGCGTCACTAATCTTTAATGTCAATTGCAATATGTTTTATGCTTGCTAAGACACTGCTTGTAGCCGTGTACGAAAACCATTAATCTTGGTTCTCCATTGAATTCTCTCCAAGGTCATTTTACCATTTTTTTTTTTATACACTGACGTACAACACATTCAATATTCTTTGAACAGCGAACTTGAATAATGAATTTTATTACTATGTTTCTTTGTTAATTTTAGTTTCAATTTTACGTCACGGACTCCCTTTTCTACTAAGGGCTAGGACGGTTGCCTTCTTGCGAAGGACTTGTTTTGGCAGATGTAATCGTTACCCTGAGTGCATGCCCTTGCTAACCTCAGACCGTGACGGGGCGCGAACCCTCGACCTGAAGCTTCAGAGTCGCGGGCGCTACCGTTTGAGCCACGGCTACTACTCTTTGTTAATGTTACTAAAACATACCAGGTGGAAGAAAATGTGATATGATTGGTTTTACGCCATGGACTCTCTTTTCTATTAAGGGCTAGGACGGTGCCTTCTTGCAAAGATCTTTGGTTTTGGCAAGTGCGACTGTTACCCTGAGCAAATGTCCATTGAAACCTTAGACCGTGGCGGGCCTCGAACCTACGATCTGACGAATAAAAGTCGCGAACGTTACCGCTCTGCCACTGCGGTCACAGGCAGAAGAAATAGCATATAATAATAATAATAATGATGATGATGATGATAATAATAATAAAAATAATAATAATAATAAATCATTATCTGTCAAGTAATAAATATTGTAAATAATATACACACTACCCAAACACGAGGACTGAATCCCGATTGGTCTCAAAACAGATTCTGATGCTAGATTTTAGCATCTGACCACAGTGCCACACAGTACCTGCATAGTGCCACAGTGCCAGCTTTCGATTTTGAAAGTATCCCTGAGAAAATAAATTAAACGCACCTTCATGTATGCTAGGAAGGGTGAATGACTTTGCATATATTACTGTGACATGAAGTGCAATTTATTAATTATTCAAGAATTTTCACGGTTTATTTTTTCTCATTCCGGCAACTGTATTTCTAGTTTGTGGCATCACTTGCCATGTGATAGTATTTGTTCGTAACACAACTCTCATACACGCTTATTTAAAACTAAACTTACTTTATATTTGTCTATTGATTAGTTTATACATGTGTATATCATGTTTTATTAAATAACAAAGCTCTGAAGATTAATAATGTTGCAATATATATATATATATATATATATATATATATATATATATATATATATATATATATATATATATATATATATATATATATATATATTACTGTGAAGACATATTGAAGACTTACTTTATTGATCAAAATGGTCAATTTATATACAGTTGATATGGACTGCATAGTAGGATGTATGCACTCTTGGAAGTTATTATAAAGATAGGATTTTTTTTAAAGGTAAAGCCAGGGCGCAGCCTGAGGGGGGTATTTATAAGTCTATAAAGATAAGAATCGAGACGATCTCTGGCCAAGCCTTGATTTTGATCCTATATGTGATCGACAGGACACACGAGGATACAACATACATCCCTATATCCATATACTGTATACATACATGTATATACTTACACACACAAACACACACACACACACATATATATATATATATATATATATATATATATATATATATATATATATATATATATATATATATATATATATTTACACAAGTGGTATGCTGACTATTATCTAGGTAATCTTATACGTAACAGAATACATACAATGCAAGTAGAATAATAATAATCAAGTGCTATAAACTCCCCTTTGCAATGAGAATGTAGTGCTTCTCTGCATGCATGTTAGCATTTCACATAGATTATAAATGAGTTTGACTTAATTAATTTTTGATAGCTCCTTCATATTAATTTGTCTTAATCGTGATATATATATATATATATATATATATATATATATATATATATATATATATATATATATATATATATATATATGATTGGCATTACACATCAGTTTGTGTACTCACTAAACATGATGAGTGACTGTGGTTAAGACAAAGGGACACCATTTTCCTCTTCTTATCATTCAGAGAAAATAGTAAAGAAATGCTGTGCAGTCGAACTCTGAACCTCCAGAATGGGAACAAGGCCCTGATTATCTGAGCTACGGAGGGTGTGGTTGCTGTTAAATGGGTATTTCAGATTTTTTTTATTTCACTTGCTGTAGTGATGGAAATCCTCTTTCGTGCAGCCAGTTTGCTGTGTTATTGGCTGTAATTGAATTAAAAATTACTAGTGTGACTTTGATTGTTTAGAATTTATTTAACTTTTTTCTTTCTTTAGTTTCATGTGGGAGACATATTCAGTTTTGTTAGTTAATGTGTGGGTTAGTAATTTTCTCTCTCTCTCTCTCTCTCTCTCTCTCTCTCTCTCTCTCTCTCTCCTCTCTCTCTCTCTCTCTCTCTCTCTCTCTCTCTCTCTCTCTCTCTCTCTCTCTCTCTCTCTCTCTCTCTCTCCTCTCTCTCTCTCTCTCTCTCTCTCTCTCTCTCTCTCTCTCTCTCTCTCTCTCTCTCTCTCTCTCTCTCTCTCTCTCTCTCTCTCTCTCTCTCGGCAAACAGAGCTGTCTTCATTCTTTATAAGACTGAAAAAATAATGAAATCTTTAAAATCTTTTAAATGTTAAGTAAGTATATTATTTTGTAGTGAATAGTACAAGGTCTTTGCCAGTCTTTATATAAATAGCTTTGAAATAATAAGAATAAGAATAATAATAAAAATGATAATAATAATGTATAGTACTTTTAATTATTAATGTATCAGTGAAAGTAATAGTAATAATAATAATAATAATAATAACAATGTTAATAATAATGAAAAGTATTTTTAATTATAAATGCATCAGTGATACTAATAGTAGTAGAAATAACAATAACGAGAATGATAATAATAATAATAATAATAATAATAATAATAATAATAAATTTATTTTAATACATAAAATCTATAAAGTTAAAACAAAATATAAATGCTCATTGAAATAAAATATCAATAATTTCTTTATCCTTTAAATTCCATTAGTTGGGTTAA